CAGACCAGCCTGGCCAACCCCATCTCTACTAAAAATGCAAAATTAGCCGGGTATGGTGGCGCACGCCTGTAATCCCAGCTACTCTGGAGTCTGAGGCTGGAGAATCGCTTAAACCCAGGAGGTAGAGGTTGCAGTAATCTGAGATGGCACCACTCAAGCCTGGGCAACAAAAGCAAATTCTGTCTTTAAAAAAGAAAGAAATAAAGAATTGCCCAATCAACCCACAGAACTCTGAGAAAAAAATAAAGCCTTGTTTTAAGGCACTAAGTTTTGGAGTGGTTTGTTATATGACAATAGATTAATACAATGGCTTACAGCAGAGATAACCTGTTATAGTAGTGAGAATGATCCTTGTATACGTAAAACATCCTTCCCTGCTCAAAATCCTCTATGGTTTCCTACTAAACTTAGAATGAAATCCAACTTCTTTCCACAGCTCACAAAATCCTGCTTGTTCTGGCCTTTGACACTTAAAAATATGATAGAAGGAAAAATATTATAGAAAGGCAGAAAGATCGAGATAAGAAAATCACCTACAGAGCAGAACAAAAAAATAAAAGTGGAAAATGGAGAAAAAGTAACAAAAATAAAACATCAGTCCAGGAAACCCAATAATATGAGCTTCTTAAAGAGTGAATAGCAAAAACAGAAAAGAGAGTATTACCAAAGAAATAATTCAGAAAAAATTGTCCAGAACTGAAAGGCATAAATTTCCAGATTGGAAGGTCCCTCTACTGGCCCAGTATAATGGATTTTAAAAAGACACACAGCAAGCACACCAAGACATCACTGTGAAAATCTGGAGTACTGACTTCTCTGACAAAAGATCTTAAACATTTCTAGGGAGAAAAAAGCAGGTCAGATATAAAGGATTGGTTATCAGGAGGACATTGAATTTCTCAACAATACTGCAAGACAAAACAAAAAACTGGAGGAAAAAAAAAAAAAAAAAACCCTTAAAATTCTGAGGGGAGAAATTCTTTCTCCCTAAAATTCTAAACCCAATTAAAACACAAGTCAAGTGTGAGGGTAGAAAAAAAATATTTTTAGTCACGCAGGTTTTCAAAAACTACCTGTCATGCATCCTTTCTTGGAAAAATTACTTTCAAAAGTAATCTAGAAATTTAGAAAATTACTTTATAAGAAAATCATTCCTCCCCACCTGAATATAAGGAAGACTCTAGATCCAACTTACAAGTGACAGGAGCTATAGGAGACAGAGGACCATGTCAAGGACACAATACGGAAGCAGGCAGAAAAATCCAGAATGCCCCAAACACTGCAGGAAATGGAAATATTTATTTCTTTAACAAATAAAAAGGCAAGAAAAATGCAAGATGTAGAAGGATACCCCAATTAAATGAGACTTAATTGTCAACCAACCACAGTATATGCGCCTTACTTAGAGCCCGATTCAAACAAACTATTAAAAATCAGATAACGGTAGGCAAGGTGGCTCATGCCTGTAATCCCAGCACTTTGGGAGGCCAAGGTGGGCGGATCACTTAAGGTCAGGAATTCGAGACCAGCCTGGTCAACTTGGTGAAACCCCACCTCTACAAAAATACAAAAATTTAGCTAGGTGTGGCGACGAGCGCCAGTAGTCCCAGCTACTCAGGAGGTTGAGACAGGATAATCTCTTGAACCCAGGAGGCAGAGGTTGCAGTGAGCCGAGATTACAGCACTGCACTCCAGCCTGGGCAACACAGGAGACTCCATCTCAAAAATTAAATTAAATTAAATTAAAAATAAAATAAAATACAAAAAGAATAAAAATAAAGCGGAGGGGTGAAGTGAAAGCTCAGGATGACAACAAGGAAGATACCAACACAATAGCTGAGAGGTTTGCACTTGCATCGCAGTATGGGATAAATGGAGGCTAGATATTGAGAAGGCAAATAAAGAAACCGGACAAATATTAACAAAGAGAAATAAAAAGGTATACATGAGCAGCAGTATAATCAGAGTATGAATAATAATTGTACTGTTTAAAACAATTTTTTAAACAAACATAATTTAGCAGTTTAATTTAGCAAGGAAAAAATGATTTGTGAAATTGGACAACCCCTTCCCACCCTCACCCAAGTCACAGCAGATTTAGAGGGTCTCCGGCGCTGCTGTATAGTGGGCATAGTGGGAGAGAATTTATGCATACAAAAAGGAAAGTGATGTGCAGGGAGCAGAAGCAAGGTATAGAAACAGCTAGTGCCTTAGAACACGATCTGAACAGCTGGTGGCTGTAAGTCTTTGAGGTCCAGCTCCTGGGACTGGCTGAGAGTCAGCAACTGTTATTGAAGCATACCCCTAAGTTAGGTTTTCACTTTGCTTACCTACTAAATTAGGTTGTGAGTTGTAGGTAAAAACTCAAGTATGTGAGTATGGAGGCTTTCTTAGGCCAGATTTTAGTTTGATGAAACAGTATAATAACAATCTAAATACTGAATAGTGATCTAACAAAATTTATAATTTGGAAGGATGGAAAGTGCATGAATATTTGTTCAAATGGTAGTGAAAGAAAGCTAGCCTCTTTTTTTTTTTTTTTTTTGGAGACAGAGTCTCATTCTGTCTCCCAGGTTTGCGATCTTGGCTCACTGCAATCTCCGCTTCCCAGGTTCAAGTGATTCTCCTGCCTCAGCCTCCCAAGTAGCTGGGATTACAGGCACCTGCCACCAGGCCCAGCTAATTTTTGTATTTTTAGTAGAGACAGGGTTTCACCATGTTGGTCAGGCTGGTCTCGAACTTCTGACCTCAGGTGATCCACCTGCCTTGACCTCCCAAAGTGCTGGGATTACAGGTGTGAGGCACCGTGCCTGGCCTGAAAGCTAGTCTTTATCACTATCGATAGTGCCTAAAAACAAAACAAAAGAATCAATAACATTATAATCAAGTTATTTAGCAATTTGGCAGGAGAAAAAAAGGCAAAAAGAATTGAAATTTGTTGTCTCTGGGCAAAGGGAAGGGGCAGAAAGGCATAAGGGGTTACTCTTTTACACAATTAACACCGTAGAACTTCTGAAGTTTTAAAACCAAGTAGACCTAAAACTTTGATTTTAAAAATTAAAAAATAAATTATAAATTATATTACATTCGTGAACAACAGGGTGACGCATCATTCTGTGTATCTTCTGCTATACAGCCCCCTGCAATGCTTTGATAAATATTTCTTT